TCAGGTGATCTGGCTGACTGTCTTTAAGAGAAGCCCGTACAGGTTTGGCAAGACGGGAACCTTGTGAGTTATTCAGGATAAAATTGCAGGGATAGCTGCGTCTTAAGATGGGGGAATTTCCAAGAAGGTTCATGTCCAGACTCTTACTCATAATATTCATTTAGTTATGCACTTTGGACATTGATAGCGCTGTATCTGTACAGTGTTCCTTTTAATAGATTTTTCACTGTAAATGCCTTGTTTAGCTTGGCAACCCTTTCTAAAAAAAAAAAAATCTCAGTCTCGGTGTTGACTATACAGATAGTGCTGGAATGAACACGGTTTGTTGCAGGTGGACGCCTTTCCACTTTCCCACATCGGCCTTCCTGAAAGGCTCTCATAATGTGGGAGCTTCTTGGCAGAGAGGGATAGCTGTTGGTGCCTGATTTCCCCAGCTCCAAGGTTTACAGCTCGCTGGCAGATATCCTTCACTGAAGATTCGTGTCTTAATATTGCTTTTGTTGGATAATTGGCCTCTGTTCCTCTGGCTTTTAGTGCTTAAAGCCAAAACACATGAACTGATGCTTATCTCCTTTCTCAGAAGTCGTAAACACCAAAGTGGTTTCAAAGGTTTTTATTTTCACTGTCTCGGGATGATCTGTGTGAGTTATTTGGTTATGGCTACAATTACAGACGAACAGGGTGACAGTCATGCTTGGGGAGGTGAATCTCACCTTATTAATGCAAGAGGGGAAGGAATTGGAGGAGCTCTCTTTATGACACTACAGCCTTATAGCCTGCACAGCAATGAAAAATGAAGATGTAGATGTGTGCCGAAATATTTAAATGTCAAGATCAGTTGTAAAAGGTGATTCGGTTTGTTGGAGTTGAGGTGCTAACCTCAATACCCTGACCGAATTCCACTCTGGGGTTGTTTGATCTGGCCTGCCTGAAGTTCCCCCTTAATTCAATGTGCTGTTCGGTCCACACTTCATTGTTGGATCACGTGGGTCCCCTCCTACATACTTAAAGTGCTTTGGCATCCTTTCAGGTGGAAAGCACTATAAAAATGCAAGCGGTTTTTCGATCATTACCTATATTGCCATCTGTAATCTTTATTTTCCCTTGTCCAGTGCCTTACTAATTATTTTCTTATTTAATCATTCTTATCTTGTTGTAAGTAACTGAAGAGTGGGAGTGTTCCTCATTAACAGCCCTAGATTCTGCCTTCACCCAGAGCAGCGTTTGTTTTTATTGTATGATTTTCACTCTGGTTGGTTATCTTTTGTTGTGTTGCATGACAGGGAGGCTGTAAATGTGTAGAACTCATTAACCCAGGGAAACTGCAGGCAAGGTTTGGGTGTGGAGCCTGAGGGGCTTCAGGCCCGCACACAACAGGCCATCCAAGACGGAGGGGCAGGCGACAGGAGAGCAGGCATGAGATCCTGCAGCGGTTCCCAGCCCTGGCCCTGGAGGAACACCATGTGTTCCGTCTGAGCTCTGAATCATAGGCCAGTGGGATTCAGTTTGGTCTTAAGTCTGCATCAGTTTGACGAGCTTGCTCGGGTGTGGTTGCCTGAAAGGAAATCAACCGGGCCCCTGCAGAAGGAAAAAGCTCTCATTCTGGGAGGTTCCGATAGTGCCATTCCCACCTGTGTCTGTCTATCACAAATTACCCGTCAGAAATAACCGTGAGCTGAGGAGAGCCCGAGTGAAGCTGTGGAAGACAAAGCGGATGGAAACTGTCCTCCTGGGGTCAGGTATTTCCGATACTCGGGACTGTCTGAAGACGCATGTGTAGACTTTTATTCAACAAGCAGGCAGGTCAGATAATGGGGGACTACAGTCCCAGTTTCTTAGACCAGTCGGTTATAATTGTTTTTGTTACTGAAATTCTAACAAACTACGCATGAAATCTCGAACTTTGTGAAGGAATGGTGTGGTGGCCATGTTGTCACAAACCATTGGCTCTCGCCACGGGCAAGAGCAGGAGTTCACAAGAATTGACGTAAAACCGCCCTTCCTGCTCACTAGTCACTGTAGTGACTAATGTCACGCCACGTACGAGCAAATAAGCACAACAGACATTTCACTGCAGAAATGTTCCAACGTGATCTGCGTGCAGAGTTAATATTTAAGTTGCATTTGTCAGCAAAACCATCTTGGAAGTCGAGAGCAATATTTCTATTGGATTTAAAGAGACCTACACAAACCTGCTTGTGACAGTGTCACGGTGCTGCTTCACCTCACTGGGAATTTTTGTTGCCTCATTCTGAAGTGCAGGATATGGGGCTGTACAGACCTGGAAATGTCTTCCTTTTTGTGATCTGAAGTAGAGGTTTTACACGTTACTGTGTTCATTTGACTTTCTCTGTGGTTTGAAATGCGATCATCAATGCCAATTCTTTCTAACCCAGAAATATAAAAACAGCGCTGCCGGTCCCCTTTAAGTTGCCAGTTAACGCTGGAGATTTAGTGCTCTGCTAGAATGAAAACCAGCAGACGTAATTCCTCCAGGACCAGAGTTGGGAGTCACTGTAATATTAGATCATACCTGAGATCACCCCACATTATTTCCTGCGGGGTATCCTACATTGGATCTCGCCCGAGTGTTGTCATTGCACACAGGAGTGTTCTTGTGTTCTACTTGATGTGAAGTTGGTAAAAATATGCAAGAAGATTTCTGGGTCATGGTCTTGTGTGTTTTGCTTTATAACCTCCAAGGTAAGGTGAAAGTGCTAATGTTACTTCACTTAATTGTGAAGTACAGTTTGCCACACCCTACGAACATGCATTCTCTTGACCTGAAGTGGAATACCCAGAAAAGCTCAGATAGATCAATTGACGTGCTGTTGTCTTGACTCAGCGTTTTTAGAGAATTTACAAATGCAGCTGGTTCTGTGATCAGCAGAAATGAAGTAGCTTGGTTTTTTGCCTGGATAATAAGAGGTTACAGCTGGTATCCAAACCACATGGCTTCACAACAGCCCCTGGCCAGGCAGTGAATGAGTCTTATTGCATGAACTGCCCTTAGCTATGAAGCTCAAATGCCACGGAGAGCTTTTTTTCCTGTGTGTTTGAGCTGCTTTGCAGTGACTGGTGAGGTGGCGCCTTGCAATATGAAAAACAAAACAGGAGTGTCTGCATCTCACTTACACCATCGTTTCTAATGGAAGGAGCCCCCATTTCTTGGGAGAACGTTCACTCTGACTGGATTTCACTGGACTGAGAGCAGTATCTGCCTGTGATGCAAATGCAACAACAAGAGTCAAAGAGTCTCACAGAGTCATTAAAAGCAGAACCCGCTCGATGATGCAAAATATAGTATGCCATTTGCTGATTTTTGTTTTTTGTGGTCACTGCATACATTATGTAGATTTGTAGGGATCTGCCACACCCTTGCTCGCAACGTGCTAGCTGAAGTCGCACATGAAGACAGCTGTCCGTGGTCCTGTCTCAGGCCCAGTGAGAAGCGAGATGGTTCGGTTCCAGGACAACAGTACTAATTCTGGGGCGCGTAGGTTTCTGTGGCAGCCAGGCCCTGGACTTGATGCGTGTTTTCAGGCAGGTTTGTAGTGACCGGTGAGGAGGAGCCTTGCACTTTGGAGAGCAAAAGATGTGTCTGCATCCCACTCACTCCATTGTTTCTGATGGAAGGTGCCACCTTTTCTTTGGAGCAGCCACTGCATTATTCACCTTAACACCTAGAAAGGTTCTGCGGCACACCTGCTCTAAAGTTAAAGTGACTACATCTTTATTGACATTAAAAACATGGATGTTTTTGGGGCGTAATTTTGCGGGCGTTGGCCATTGTGTTTCACTTACACTAGAGATTACCACAGGGATAGTAATGCTTGCGTGCATCAGTTTGAATGGGTGCCAGGGCTGTTCAGGCCAGAACTTTGGTCAGGTTTGTAGCCTGAGCAGCCCAGGGCTCACTGGATGCTCTGTGTGGGCGTGCATAACTCCCTCTTATAGATGGCGTGCTTTGGAACTGCTGTTTTGTGGCACAGCTGTCAGGGCAAACTTGCCTGCAGCTCTTTATCTTATTTTCATAGTTGTTTCTATTTGGGAGCGAAGCCAGGTGAGAGAATGCCTGTTCTGTGATGCAGTCCAACCAAGATCATGTACTACATTTACATCCACATGCGCATAAAGTATGGGGCACGCTAAGCATTGAGAGATTTCAGGGAGACTGTAAGAGTTTCTCTTGTCACCTGGCCTATGTGTAAAGGGGTAGAGAAAAGCACCTTGGTGGTCGAAATCAGTCCCTTTCAATCTTCTCTTCTTCTGGAACTGGTCAGGAAGAAATTGGGTCTCCCTTCAGTGACCACTTCCTAGTTGGAGCAGAAAAGCGGGTAACCCAGTGCCCCATGTCATTTTTCACTTTCCATTCTGGTCCATAGAGAAAGCATTCTGAAGAGCTGGCCTAGGGCGCTGCGGTTGCCCTGGAGAACCCTGGGAATGGAGATTGAGGCGCAGCAGGGGCTGGTTCTACCCAAACAGCTTCCCCTTGCCTCTCCTCTCTGGCTCCCAGCTGAGGCAAAGGCATTTCTGTGGGGGTCTTGTCTTTTCCCTGAATGGCCACTCACACACGTGCTCCTTCCTGCTCCTTCTGCTCACAGACTGCCAAGCGCAGAGAACCGGCACAACTGTTGGTCAAGGACGTGGTGCACCCGGTGCAGATTAGAGCCCTAACCCCGAAGGACTTCCCTGCTGCGGCTTCCAGGCGTCTCCCGTTTTTAATGGGAATTATCCGCCAGGGGAACAGCATTCAGATCTCGTTGTTCTGCATTGCCATTGCGGTGAGATTGAATGAGATCCAAACCTGAAACCCTTCCACAGACGTGGTCCTTCGTTTGGCAGTCAATTCTGCTGCTCTGCACGGTTATATGAACAACTCTTAGCTGTTATCAACATGGTATCGGAGAGTCCTGCGTATCTGGGGAGGTGGGGAGGCAAGAAATCTTTAAGGCCTTAAGAAATCAGTTTTTTTATTGCGCCTCTCTTCTTCTCACTAGGTGCGATCGGAGCTGGATAAATACCTGCCCCACAGCGCCCCACCCCAGGTCCCCTCCGTGATGGACAAGAAGTACCGGCGGGAGAGTGCCTCGGTGGTGGACGAGTACTTCTCCACGGAGAAGCCAGCTCCCTACAGCGTCAACATCAACGTCATCCTGCCAAACACCACACACCTGCGCACAGGCCTGTACCGCCCCACCAAGCCCATAAAGACGGAACCCGGGGTCGACCCTCCCACCTCCATGCAGACCCTCCCCGAGTTCACCTCGGTGTTCAGCGTCCCACAGACTGTCAATAACCTCTTCATCAAGCAGGACATGTCTGCTGATGACCTCCACATTGGGCCCCAGCAGCCTCAGGTTTACCAGCTGCCTGTGGGCAGCAATGACATCACAATGCCCCTGTCCGGCAGCCAGTCAGGGAGCAGCAGCGGCACGACCATGCACACGCTCAACAGCGTCACCATGACAACCGGAGTCGGTGGCACCATCAAGTCCTTCCAGCATCCCCTGAGGACCCAGGGTGGCTTTGTCATGCCTGACCAGTTCTACCAGGCCCAGCCTCTGAGCCTTCCCCCCTCGCCCCCCAATTCACAGCCTGGGAGCCCTGAAAACCAGGCAGAGCTCATCAACACCATCTCCCCGCCTCCCCCCTACCAACCCAGGCTCAAGATGATGCCGGGCCACTCCCAGATGCACTCCCAGGTGGTGCTGGTGCCCCAGCACGGGCAAGGGATCTTGAACGGGCCGCGGTACAATCGCCGCAACAACCCCGAGCTGGAGAAGAGGAGGATCCACCACTGTGACTTCCCAGGTAGGCAGGAGAGGAAGGGGAGGAGGGGGCCGAGCAAAGTCGGGATAGAGGAGGTGGTTGGGGAGTAGTGAGGGAAAAGAGGTGCCTGATATTCCTTTTGCTTTTCCGATGTCATGAAGAAACTCACTTGATTTATTTCACCCTACTGAAATATCTCCACACTGTTCAGCACTTTAATTATCCTGATTTATCATCAGCAGTATTGTGTATTAAGACATCCCGGTGGAGAATCTGCACTCAATGTGCGGTATCAGGATTGACCTGCCTCAAGGCAGTCTGGGAATTGTAGTGCAGAGGGTCCCGCTGGGACTTCACTGACTGAGGGGTGCCCTGAACCCCAGAGCAGGCCGCTTTGTGCTGAGCCTATCCCAGCCAGCGCTGATGTAATCGGCCGGATCACGAGGTTGCTGCTGTCAGTGATCCGAGTGAAGGACTCTTTTTTTTTTCCCTTTTAATTCTTTGCTTTCTTTTTTTCTCGCAGGGTGCACCAAAGTTTACACCAAGAGCTCTCACTTGAAAGCACATCAAAGGACACACACAGGTAAGAAAGAGAGAGCTGAGCTGCAACTATAACTTGTCACGCAGGGTTGCCACCAATATCGTGTTGCTGCACGGATAACAAAGATGAAAAGCAAGGGGGGAGGGGGGATCCGGACTGTCCTCGTGTTGCTCCAGTGGGAGTGGGTAGGTGCGTGAGAGAGTGAGGCGGACGTCCTCGCAAAATACAATGCTCTTTAAGGACCAAAGCAGGAGCGAGAAGAGAAACGGTAGTTTTCGGGGGGGGTAGTGTGCGTGGGAGGGGGGAGGGGCTGCTGTAACTCCTGTGGTTGTTTTTCCGACACGCCTGCATGTCCGCACAAGCCCGTAAGCCTGCCAGGCAGAGTCCCGCAGATGCAAAGAGGCTCAGGACCTGGACCTGGAAAAACCTGCTCTTCCTGACATTCCTTCAGCAGGCCTGGGCCGGGGGGGAGGAGAGGGGGGGGATGTGTCATATGAGCATAAGCCTATTCAGTCCATCTAGGTCGTTGGGTTGCCTGTAGCTAATTGATCCCAGGATCTCATCCAGGCGATTCTTGAATTAAGCCAGGGCGTTGGCTTTCACAACATGGCCGGGCAGCTTTTCCCCAGATTCCCACAACCCTTTGTCTATCCGAGAGACTCTTGTTATTGTTAAGTGCACTTCCATTTAGTTTCCATTTGTGTGCTCTGGTTTATGTTTCACTTTTCATTCTGAAGAACCCTACGGGTTGATTCTGTCAAAGTCTCAGGACTTCTGAGTATTTGAATTGGAGTCGCTTCATAGTCTTTTCTGTTCAGGACTAAAAAGGATTCTCTTCTTTTAGCCTGTTACTGTAGATCATTACTTCTCTGCAGCATTTAGGTAATCCTCTTATATTGGTATCATCTGTGAAACTGAATAGTTTGTTCTTCAATACCTGAATCAGGATCACCACTATAAATGAAGAAGAGCAGTGGTCCTAATATAGACCATGTGGTACTCCTCTAATTACATCACTCCAGTCTGAGGCTTCACCCTATATCTGTACCTTCTTTTATGTGTATTAACCAGTTCCTAAGTGCATGCATTACCCTGAAAGCCTCCTACCTGTTATCTTAGAATTAATCTTTTATGAAGACCTTTCAAAAGCCTTCTATAAATACACCATATCATGTTCTCTGTTTGTATCCATGACCACTGTTGCTTGTTCAAGGAACTCTGATTGATTGACTTATGGGATACGTTGTTTTTTTAACTTCTTTAAGATATTTTCGGAAAATATCTTTGGCTTGTTTCCTCTCTGCTCTTTCCATATCTGTCCTGTCTGATTCTTCTTTCGAACTGGGTCTCATTCCTTAATACTTACTGCTACTTTCCCGAAGTTGTAAAGGTTTTGTTTGGGACTCTGTATCGGTTCAGTTACAAAATGAACTTCAAAGCATACTCGTATTACAATCGCGGTTTCATGTGATGGGTCCAGATCTTCCTGGGCTCTCTGATCAGCTGTCTCCTTGGAAGCTTGGACTGAAGCTGTGATTTAAAGGAAGGAACAGGATTTCTTGTTAGTCTCACAAAATCGCACCACCCTCAGAAAGCACGTTCTCATTTCTTTACTGCTCTTGTCATTTATGCCCCACCCCCCTGTCCCTTCCCCTTTCAGCCCGTTTGCTTGTGACAGTGTTTAGTGACATCACCCTGAATTTTTTTTTTTGCCTGGCAAGCATAACGGTGTGTTGTGGTTTCTGATGATATAACATCCCTCTGGGCCTTAAGATTCACCGAAGGTTTTTAACTCTTTCAAGCACGTTGATGTATCCAAAAAACCGATTCTTGTCTGTGGTCATATGTTCCAGGCATGGAATGTTTTCTGGTTGTCACATGCTTGTCGTTAAAAGAATTGTTTGGCATCCAAGATGTGTAGTGTGCCCAGCTCTTCTGGGTGTAAGAGTCATTGTGTGGGCTCCCTGAGCATGGCGCTGTCGGCGCTGCCTCGTTTTTGTAAACGACTTTCAGGGCGCCCGTCTCCTGAGCGACTGCGTTGCAGGCGGCTCACTGGGCATTCTTCCGAGCCACGCAGCGTGAGTGTCCCGGTCAGAGCGCTCCCGGAGCGAGAGAGAGGTCATCCAGCCCTGCTTCTCCCAGGGCAGGCCAGGGAGGGGATGAGGTGGGAAGCGGAGAGACGGGCAGAAGGCTGAGCTAAGAATGGAAGAGAGAGAAGAGGCTTTGAAAGACGGGGGGCGGGGGGGGTAAACTGTGGATAAGTGTGGCATTTTGACCTTGGAACTTGAGTCTGCAGTGGGCCAGCTTTAAGAGGGCTAATGTGACAGATCTATGAGGCTGCGAAACAATGTTTTTTTTCCCCGCAGTCCAAACCTTCAACAAGATGGGGTGAACGAGGTTGTTTTACCAAGGGGGTGGGGGGGAATTTCATCTCCATAAACTTTACCCTGTGATCACACCCTGCAGGTATATGAGGAATGCGATATTTCATAGCTCTTTTGAAGCACAGGAATGTCAAGTGTCCCCTCCCAGCGTATTTATAGAGCAGCAGTGAGAACTTGCAGCCCAGCACGCTGATTAACCACTAGATAATGAGGCTCAGGAAAGCCTGAGGCAGTTCTTGAAGATGAAAACAACAGAATGTCAAAAACACATTTCGCTGCTTTGCTGTTTATTTTTACACATGCACACGCCCCAGTATAAAGGAATGTTTTGGCTTTGTCTACGAGCTGGTCTTTGAAAGCTCACGCCCAGAACGAGGGGTGCTACACTTGAAAACAATTAGAGGCGTTTTAAAGAGGTGCTTTGCTTAACTGAGCAACAGCATGTCCTTATTCCAGAAGGGCCCTTAATTGCAAGCAGGTGTTTTAAAACTATTGTTAAAGCAGAGGCAGCTGAATAATAGGATATGGAAAGGTGAGCTAATTGTTTCTCTAATTTTGGAAGGTATGGTAGCAAAGTCCCTATACTGTAAACACTGTAAAACTAAAATTAAAACTGTTTTAGTAAGCTAGAACATTCCTTACTCTAGATATTAAAGAAGGAACATCTCAGATCGCATGAGTAAGATCTGAGTTGTGGCTCAGCTTGACTTCACAAGTTTGTTTTGCTCATTTTGTTTCTCTCAAACCTTTTGGCAACATTCTGTGTGTGCGTGTGTGTACACAACTGATCTATGTATCTGACTGCAATGCTTTGCACTCCCTTTGCAAACAGAAATGTCCAATGAAAGCCTGAGAAACATAAAAGATGTTGGAGCACTATAGTTGATGAGCTTTCTGAAAGCAAACAGGCCTACTGTATTGTGTGCACATGCTCAGTAAAGCTGGAGTTAAGTAGCAATAAAGGTACATTAATGGCCTTTTCAGAGTTTTACAAAGGGCTGGGCCACACAAATCACTCACTCACTGTCAGCTATAAAATATTAATATCCCTTCAAGAATGGTAAGTGCTCCATAAACTGCCTCTGTCCGCTGCTCACAAGAGAAGCAAGTACTGTTTAATATTTACATTTTTTTAAAAAGTATATATTTATGAAGAGTTGCACAACATTCCACCTTACTAAATACCTGTAAATCAGTGCAGTGCTGTTGTTAGTCTGGCAGTAAGCAGCCACAGAGACTGCCGATAAGAGCTCTTTGCAGGTTGCAACTCAGTGAGGCATCAGGTAATGAAATTGTCACCCTGGAGAGGCTGGCGGGGGCATTTGATCCTGTGTCAACTCCTTAGGGGAGTTAAAAACAAGTTTGTTTTTTCTGCCTTTGAGTGCTACCTTATCTGCAGGCTGTTTGCTGTGGGTCTGATAAGCTCCAGCAGGTGAGGCAATACCACTGACCCTTCCAACGCCAGCGCTAAATCAAACACACCTGCCCGGGCCCCCTTCCCCAAACATGGGAGAGTGGGGGGCTGAAAAAGGTGAACCCTACCTTATTCCTCACCCCCCCCACCACCACTGCTTTCTGCCCCCGCTGCCCCCTCCTCCTGTCCGACACGGAGCAGCTTTCCCAGATGAAACCTGGGTCCTCGCCTGAGTTTTGATTGGCCGTGGACACTGTACTTGTGCTCTGCGTGCCCGCCAGTGGAGGAGCGCCGTGTGGGATTTTGCTGTGATGCCCGGGGGCGTTCCTTCAGATGTGGCCCCCGGGATCTGTTTGTATACAGCTGTGGCCAGATGTTCTCCTCGTGTTGTGCTCATAGGGAGGGTTTTCTGAAGTTAAAACTTAAGGTAGCCTTTAATAACTGTTAGGCACAGAAATCGGGGGTGCTCTGTTGTTTTGTGGTGCTGCTTTGGGATTGTGGAAAAACGAGCCAGGGAGTCAGGGGGTCTGGGACTGATGTGTGGAGCGCTCATGGCAGGGAGAGGGGTGCTATACGGGGCATGTAGGCAGCAAGGTCCTCAACAGACTGATCGGTCAGTAATCTGATGCTGTTGCTGCCCAGTCAAACCTGAAATTCCAGTTGCCTGTTCCTCGGGGAGAGCCATGGAGAAAGCCCGCAGGACAGGCTGGGATTCGGCCCCACAGCCTCCCTCCCCCCACGACAGGAAATCTTGCGGGAAATCTGAGCCCGTCCCCCCCACCCGAGCAGTGTCCCAGAGGCTTCCTCGACTTTCCTGGGATGGCTGTACGCGTCTCCATGTCTTTCAACTTTTGAAACATTGCATTGCACATGGGAGGGGTGAATTCCAGGCCTGCAGGAGGGGTACTACAGTATCTCTACAGGCCTTCACTTCACTTCAGCTCTGTTCTGTAGCGGTGAAGTATTGGCTTATCTGCACCAATTGAACCACTTCTCCCAGCTCTTCGGGTGCTGTTGCTTTGAAGACCTGTAGGATTGATTACCTGGGTTTAAGACCTGTAGATACACCACCCCTCCTGGACCACGATAAGACACCCCGGATTTGCAATATTGCGTGTTGGTAGGACGTATAAAATGTATCATTTTATTACAGGCTTTAAACCAAGCAGTACTTTCTCTGGCTGTTGTGCATGATACTTCAATCCATATATATATATATTTGTTTTAATATGCACCTCCGGAGAGAGGTTAGTTGGCTCGAGGGGGAAAACGGCTCCCCCTGTGACTTCCTGGGTCATTGCGATGCCAGTGAGGGATACTGCTCAGCTGCTCCACTCGGCCCTGAGCCTCCTGAAGCTGGCTGTCGGATCTGAAGCGCGTGACAGGACAAATGGTGCAGGGGGCAGGCGGGTCAGAGGAGCTGGTCTGCCCTCCCTCTCTCTCCGCACCGTGTGGGGGACAGGGGTCCTCGCTGTGAGCTGGGGTGTCAAGACCCAGGTGCAGCTTAGGCAGAAGAAAGTCGGTGATTCCTCAGGTTCCTCTGTGTCTGTTTTCTCATTCTCTCTCTTCTCCTTACACTGCCTGGCAGTGGATTTCCACATGGCATGGTGCCCTGGTATTCCAGTAAGGGTTGAGTCAGTCTTGAAGACGGGTAGGCAGGGCTGGCCCATGGCACGCGTGTCGGTCGAGGTGTGGAATCCCAGGTTTCGCCTTCTTCCATCTCCGCGTCTCCGTTCCTATTTTCATTTTCGAAACACGGAACCCCCTGGCCTCGCTGAGCCCTCACACTGGGCCGTTAACCACAGAGCCGGGAGCTTATTTGTGTCCTATAGCGCTGTTCGTTAGCGCTTCATCTGCAGTTGATAATGTGCCTTTGCACACTTCCCTGTCAGGACTGCTGTTAGTATTGGCACAGCACGTGTTCCCACAGCCCATGGGTGTATGAAGCGTGTTAAGTGGGGATTTTAAGGTGACAAATAAGGAAGGATCGAAGGATCCTTATCCTTCCTTATCCTTCTTTCGATCCTACCAGAAGGATCTGGTAGGATCGAAAGAACCAGGATCAGCATGTGGGCCTGGAGGTGGGCCAGGCTGGTCTTGATTGCTGAGCCTCCTCCCAATCCCTGTCAGTGGGCCGGTACCCAGGCAGGCCAGGGCTCTCGGGGAGAGCAGAGGCTGTGAGCCCTGAGCTCTAGACTCGGTGTGCTTGTGTGTGGTCTGGCACCTGTGGTATGAGGGACAGGTAGCTACCTGTCCTGGGCCCGCTCCTTGGCTGAATAATAGCCTCTGTAGACTCTTGAGCTCTCTGCTTGGAAAATCAGAATCCTGGCTGAGAAGCAAAACGTAGCTGTGCCTATTCCTTTATCCCTTTCTCCTGACTCTTATTTTCTCTGCTGTCTTTCTGTGGTCTCTCTCTGATGCCGGCATTGGCTGCTCCGCTGCAGTTCAGAATTTGCTCAGTGCACATTCTGCCTGTGTTCTGCCAGCTCGTTTCCCCCAAGCAGTGTGACTTGCACTAATTACAGATTATTGTGCATCATTTTAATCGTTCCACTGACTTCTTTTGTTTACACAAGAAAATTTGCTAAATTGCCCTCTCAGCCACAAGCATGTACCTGTTTAATTTCTACGTGATTTGGCACACAGCAGAGCCCGATACTGTAATACTCCGTTTACCAGCGTTAATCAGCGTTAGGAGTGAACTTTGTGTAGCTGGACTGATACTGCAGTAGATCAAACAGCCTGGAGTGGGTGGTGACCATAATTCATTACGTGACTGTAAAGAACAGGAAATGGCTTTAACGATAAAAATAAAGGAATAAAAAGTGGATTAAAAGCCACATTCTGTTGTGCTCTGGCGTTCATAGAATCCAATTTGCCTATGTACCTATGCAAAACCTCCCCCCCCCCCCCCCCCCCCCCTTTCCCCAATTAGACTCCTAATTTCAAGTGTTGAAATTAAAGGAGACCCTGATTTTCCCCTCTTGGGTAGTATACAAGGGTTAACGTTTATCCAAATTCAAAGTACGTTTTTTTTCCAGTCCTCTCTTTCGTGCAGCTGGTTTTCAAACACCGCCTTGGAGAAGTCTTCCAGGTTTTCCCCCCACTCGAGCTCTGGGGCGCTTTCCTCTGCGTCGTCTTCTGGGCCGGGCCGTTGTCCTGCGTGACCCGCGCGTCTCCGCCTGCGTGTGTGGGCCCCGGCGCTGGTCGTGGTTTCCGTTTTCGGGGCCCCCGGGGCTTCAGCTGAGCTGCCGGGCGCGTGCGTGAGGGAGGCTTGTTCGATCCCGAGCGCGCGCGCCCCTGTTTGACCCCCCCGTCTCTCTCTCTCTCTGTCTGTCTGTCTGTCTGTGTTCCAGGGGAGAAGCCGTACCGCTGTAGCTGGGAGGGCTGCGACTGGCGGTTCGCGCGCTCGGACGAGCTGACGCGGCACTTCCGCAAGCACACGGGCGCCAAGCCCTTCAAGTGCCTGTCCTGCGGCCGCTGCTTCTCGCGCTCCGACCACCTGGCCCTGCACATGAAGCGCCACCAGAACTAGGGGGCGCCACCCACCCCCCCCGTCTGACTGACTGACTCTTCCTCTGCAGCCCTCTTCCCCTGCTTTCAAAGTTGTTTTTTTCCCTTTTTTTTATAAATATATATAATAAGATCAAAATCTTCTGTACATACAGATTTAGAACGTGCTGCCAAGAAACATAAGCGTAAGAAAGTGTGGCTCTTCCAGATGGCATTTGCATGCTTATATATCAGTACTATACTTATATATATCGGTAAATGCATATAATTGTGTGTGTGTGTGTATGTGTGCGTGCACATTTGTAAAGATGCAAGTTTGCAAAGAATGTATCTCGCTGTACTTGACTTCAGATTTTTTACAGTTAACAGGAAGGTTTAAGGCAATGACCATTTAATGATAATTTTAACAATTATTTATTCCCACCTTCACGCCTGTGCCCTGTCTCTCTTCCGCACTAAAGCACGCAAACCGCACGAGCATCTCGGCCAGGTCCCGAGATCTCCTCCTCTCTCACCCCTGCAGTCCCCACCCTTCTCTAAAACGGTCGGGTCTTTTTGTTCTTCCAGTGCAACAGACAAAATGGCTCCAGCCCCCCCTCCCCCCCCCCCCCCCATTCTGGAACCTGTATTGTGAGAAAAGCACATCTGCGTGGCATGGACAGAGCCCAGTCAGTCAGGTTTTTCAGGTCTCGTCTGCAGCGGAAGAAAAGACGTTAATGGTCTGGATTGGTTGAGTTAAGCTCAGCGCTAGCTCTGTCTGGTATGTAAGACCTACGGTGGAGTTCAGATTTGATACAGATCCCCGAGGGCTTCACTTTCACTTCACTGTTGTTCAAAAATTCCAAAGCTCTCGATGTGGAGAGAGAGAGAGGAGGGGAGTCTTGTCCACCCGTCTTTTGTTTATTTAAAAAAACATGGGAGCCAATTTAGCATCCGTAGCGGAGAGCTTAGAGATTGAGGTCCAGGTTATGGAGGGAGTTGTCTCCCACCAGGCGCAAGGGCACTCGGTCTGGCTCCCCATTCGCGCTTGGGGATGTGGGGGTGTCTCTCCCCCCCCGGAAGTGGCTTGGCTCTGGAACACCAGTGGGGACCGAAGGTCTGCTCTGGTGAAGAGTGTGGCAGGGGCTGTCCATGCCTAGAAGGTGTATCTCAGTCACTGTGGGGGTGGAAAACGAGCCAGGAGGACTCGGTGTGATAGGGGAGCCACAGTCTGCACGTGTGCAACTGCTCCAGGGATTTTTTTCTGGGACCGCAGGGGCCAGCTTTCCCCAGGCCTCCTGGAAATCCAAGCGCTTCTATGACCGAATATAGGCTTCTTATTGGATTGTCTCCTTCTTTTCCCGTTCTGTGTTGACACTGTGTGGACGGGCAGTGTGGCGCTCAAGCACTCTGTGGAATAATGTGCCCTGCAGGGGCCTGAGCTCAGCCTACTGAACATCTCTCCGGCAACGTGGAGTTCTCACCTGGGGATGGAAAACTGACGATGTAGTTAGTGTCCTGCTCAAATGGTTTTGTCTTAAATACCTACAGGGCAAGTGGTTAATTTCAGATTGAGAGATATACTCATCTGTCTCGGATAGATGCCACGAAAATAGTTCATTTGGAACGGGAAAAGTTTCTCCACCCCAGAGCTCACTCATTGTCCCAAAGCGTGGTGCTGAACCCAGCACAGGTTGAGCAATGTTAAGTTTGGGTGAGGACAAGGCTCTGCAGATTCATAGCACTTACTGGATTAACAGGCTGTAAACAGCACATCCCCAGGGACAGTTAAAACAGGGGAGCAGACAGTAATGAAGTCTTTGCTTCCAGACAAATTGCCTGTATTTCTTTCTCACAGATAAGAAGTTTGTTGACTTTCCATGCTGTGTTGTCCACTGAGAGCCAGCTGCGCTCTGTTGAAGGTTTACTCTGGGCAGCAATAGTGTAGGAGTGGAGAGTTCAGGTGCCACTGAGCTGCACAGCAGCTGGTGGCTATTGCTCCCTTATTTAGGTCAGTGACTGATCTAAATTGAGTAATTGTTTAATTGAATGAGTTTAATTGATGAATGTAACTTAATTTGTCCAGCTGAGCCGTGCCACCTTAGGGCTTCAGCCACAGAGGTTTTTAAATTGCCGTCTGTTGCCTGCAGGACTGTGGTTCTCTGGGACCTGGGATCATCTGTGGTCGGTTGGTCTTACTGGGGCTTGCTGTGTTGTCCGAGAGGGGAGCTGGCATTCATGTGGGCCGTCTCTCTCTGCCTCTGGAGCTGCAGCTTGAGGGCAGATAATATGGGCATGTCACTGGCTGTCTGCACAGAGGATCTAATGTTTGTCAGGGTAACAGATGTGCCCGTGTGATCATTCTAGTGCATGCCAACATAATGCACCCCAACTGCAAATAGGATCCTAAATGCTACATTAAAAAAAAAAAATTCTAATGCACATCTCATTTCTCTATTGTTTGGTACCAGCACTAACTCCTAGAACCAGAGTACTGAGTCAGTATTGCGACAACCATGACAAACAAAGGCAGTTGTGTCCCCGAGTCTGCAAATACAGCAAACTGACATGTCTGCTCCAAGTGCCAAAGCAATTCCTTAACCTGCTTGCAGGCTACCAGAGCATGAGGCAGGTGTTTAAAGCAGGTCACCGAGCGCTTCGCTGGAGGAAGGCTTGCTCTACAGTATTGTTGTTGCTCAGTGGATCGGAGTACAAGTCCAGCGCAGCATGACTGTGCACTCCTGCTGGCTAGGGAGTGTGACTGGGAGTCGAGCATGAAGCTCGGCCAGCTCCTTGCAGGGTGCCTTTGCTCTGCAGCTCGGGTGGCGCTGACTAAGCCTCAGAAAAGTGTACAAAAAACACTTCTTTTTTTTTAACATGATTTTAGAACGTTCTTCATCAGGGTTCCCAAAACCGTTAAACGGCGATTCTTTGCAGAAGTCTTCCCTGTGGCTCGGCTACTCTGTTTCAAAATGGGTGTAAATAATAAAATGTGTTAAGGAATGCCCTTTTAAAAGGGCAGCACTGTACTTGCCGGGATACTGGCCCTGTCAAAGCTTTTTGCAGCTGTGGGGCAGCGCAGTAATATTCCATTGTAAAGTTCTCAAAATCTCCTGGAGGAGCTCCTGTTTCTCCAAGTGAGAAATCTTCCCTGGGGATTCTAATTAGCTGAGGAATCTTTTTTTTTTTAAAGAGTTTTCAACATCTGATCCGATAGTGGTGGACGCACACCTGTCATTTAAGAGGGCTGTTACACCTGTCTGGTTGGATTGTGTTAAACACACTCCTATTCCTTCCCTTTTAACACAGGAGCTATCAAAGTCTCTGTAAATATTGTAGTTTTAGATGAAGAAGAGAGATGTAAATATTTTTTTCCCATTTGATGAACTAATGTCAATATTGAACAAAAAAGGGGGATTTTCTTTTAGTTTTTTGAAGGGTGGCAGATTATTTTTTAAACGTTTCTTAAATTGATACACGGTATTATGTATTTTTGATAAATGAAAAACAAATCAAGTTCTGTAAAAATAATTATATGGTGAACAACTTTTGTATTTCTTTTTGAGACTGCAAAATAAAAACTTGTATAGAAAAAGTACAATAATAAAGTGTTTATAGACTTCAGCATTTGGCTGGTGTGTTTTGTCAATGGAGATTAAATGGAAATTTTAGAAATTGGTTTTGAGCGTCATTAACAAGCAATTAGTAAGTTGGGACATATAGACTGACACGTTGAGGGACCACAGTGCTTGCTTGCTTAAACTGTGCGATTAGTGAGCGATGTCGATTTCATTTGCTTATTATCATCATGATACTCTTTTATCATAATTTTGGTCTGCCTCTATCGTCTGCTAAAACACAGTGTACAGACACACGCACAAGCCCACATATGCACGTTCACATCTGTTGTGAAACCTCTGACATACCTTGGGCTGTAAAATAAGCTCATTTGCTCATAAAGCAAATTATACCTGAAACTCTCAGGGCAGAGTTATAAAAATCTGTTTCCCTTTGTCCTTCAGGCGAACTGGAATTGGATTTCAAGGCAGCAACCTTGGACAGGACAACTATTCATAAAGACACTGCAGGGGAATTCCTTGCTGAATTCTAGTGGATTCAAATGCCACATTAAAAAAAAAAAAAAAAACCTGAATTCCCATTGGGCCTCCAATGGCTTTATGTCCTGTCTGTAGGATAGAATGGAAAGGATCTGCTTGTCCCAGAGTGCCGAGTTTTCCCCTGAAGCCGTGATCAAATGCACGAGCTGCTATAAAGTTATCTGCGTGAGGCTAGCCCCCATGAGCTGGCCCCACTCGCACCTCTTCCAGGCACAACCTTCGCTTTCCCAGGAGTCTCCCATCCACGTACTGACCAGGCTCACACTTGCCGAGCTCCAGTGGGCTGCCAGTTGGGGGTTGCAGTTGCTGCCTGAGTTCAGTTTGGTGGTGTTCTTTACTAATTTGTCCGAGGCTTTTATCCAAAGAAACTGATATTTCTATCCATGCATTCATGTGGGTATTGTACCGGAGCAGCTCCAGTGCAGCTCCTTGCTCAACGGCACAACAGCGGTGTCTCTCGCCTGGGACTCGAACCCGCAGCCTCCTCAGTCCAGGACCTCAACCACTGCTGCACAGTGCCGCCCACTGTGGAGGTGGCACGATTGGTGGCATCCCTCCCAGATAGCATTACCATCCCTGGAGCTGATCCTGCCACTGCTGAAAATTACAAGTCAGGAGATGAAGGTACAAACTCTTTTAAGACGTGCGCAAGCAGAGGCCCAGCCTGTTACCGTTCAAACTCTTTTACTAGAGTTGCAATTTAGGCCGTGGCTTGAAATTGACACGTTTGCACTGTAGTACTCTGTTAAAGAAATAGTCATTTCCCCTTTTTCCCCATAGAGGCTGCTGTCCTGTCCAGGGTGTATCCTGTCTGGTGCGCTATATGTCCAGGATAAACTTTAGTTAGTTGCGATCTTCACCAGGAACAATGGATGCAAAACAATTAGCAGTCGTAACCCTGGATTAGTGTTTGTTAGAGAACCACACAATTCAAAAATGTCCTCGGCACAGAGAATGAAAGCTGTCTTCTGTATCTGACTGTGAAAACTAGGACAGATCAGAGGCTCCTGAGGGAAACAGTGAGAAGTGCAGTTTGTCTCAGTGGCCTCGAGGTCCCCTGTTCCTCTCTGCTTGTAATTTTCACCCTCTGTCTTTCTCTGGCAGGAGTGAAGGAGAGGGGTGGGAAAAACCGCAAGCAGCAACACCCCCTCACGTTTACTGTTAAAACAGCACAGCTTGCAGACTATACTAAAATGCATCCAGCTTTTTGATCCCAAGATCATTAACAGGGAAATGTCAAACCAGAAGCAGCTGTTAAAGAGTGCTCAGTACATGCTTAATTAGAAAGCCATCGGAAATATGAATACCACACAGCTATACTGGATCAACCACTTGAAAAGAGATCCTTGTTGATTCTAAGTAATTCAGAAACCGTGCACTGGGCGTTCGAAAGGTCTTTTTTTTAAATTGGTGATTCCAGGCCGTCTGGGTGTTGGGGGGGGTGGAGAGCCGGCGAGTCTTTCTCAAGCAAACCCTCAAGCGAGCTCAACATGGCCCTGCACACACGCTGTTCAGAGTGGGAACGTCAGACCAGACAGTTGCTTTTCAGATTTCTCTTTTCTCCCTTTGGTGAACAAGAAAAAAAAAAAAACAGGGTGGAGTGTGCACTATTGCCCGACATAAAAAAAATAATCATTATATTTTTGCCGGGATAATTTATAGCTGAAATCCGGAAGACATACAGCTGTGCTTAGAAACGGTCTCCCTGCTGCTGGGGCAGCTGCTCTGTCATTGGTGCTTGTTTGCTGCTCACCGAACAGAGGCCAAGGAACACCCACAGGGTTGGGGGTGGGAGGGGGAGGATTCGTGGGGTATCCAGGACAGGGTTTGATCATGAGCGCCGGCTGCTAAGGGGGTTTGCGTTGAACACTCTTCCGGCACCTCTGCGTGTGGAGTCTGCATGTTCCCCTCCCTGGTGGCGTAGGTCTCGCTCCGATTTCTCTCCCGTATTCCAGAGCTGAGCCCATCAGGCTGGACTGGGCACCAGTTGAGTTTCCTCACAGGGGTACAGCTGAGGACAGGGAGCCCCGGAGGGGCCTGGTCTGGCTGTGTGTGCCCTGCCACACCCTGCCTCACACCGCAGGACAATCCACCTGGCCTGCGTGTCTGTTAGCTTCACGCAGTAAAACGGTGGGCATTACCAGCTGACCTCCCCTAATGGGGGCGGGACAAGGTGCAACAGAACAGCTGAGAGGATCGGAAGGTTTTTTTCCCCCGATGGTGAGGTCACAAACAAAACCGCCGCATCCTGCCAGCTTGCCTTGGGAGGTCGGACCCAAGTCTGGCCAATTCCGACCCGGCTCCCTCTCCGAGGATGAGCGGGACTGCGGCCTCCATCGTCGGGCCCAGTGCTCCCAGTGCAGCCAGCGCTCACAGCTCCTCCAGATCCATTCCTGATCTGGACGGCGGTTTATGGGTAGGGTTCCGCAATCAAAGAAGTCGATCGGGTGATGGGAGCAGGAGCTCAGCGGGAGTCAGTCCGGGGGGCTCGTTTTGAAAAGTGACACACGTGATGGGCTGCGCTAATCCCTTAAAAGCTCCAAAATGATAGATCTCGTGCAGGAGGCTCCCGATACAAAGCGCAGAGCTGGTAGCCCTGGAGCCTGCGGTAAAGCTCTCAAACAATGGGGCTGAGAGAACAGCTCACAGGGGGCTTAACGTTCAGCCTTGGAGGACTGAGAAAAGAAGAAGAGTTTGCAGCGGCTGTCACCGATAATTCCCCCCTCCCTCTGGTGCTCCCTTTAAGAGCTAACCGTTGCACAATTCCACCATCTTTTCCCCTGGAGGGCCTCTTTCCCGTGGAGCGACCAGACCGGGAGCCAGAGGAATCCAGTTAAAACCGTCCGCGACTCTGGGAAGTGACAGCTGGGGTCTGAGGCGCAGTGGCAGCGCTGGTGCCGGTGGGGAGGAGATGGCTGTTTCGAAGGCCCGGCAGTTTAACCAGTTTTCCTCATGGATTAAGTCCCAGCAAAACGAAAAACAAAAAGAAAAACGACTGTCCCCTCTGCCAGCAGCTCCATCGGGGCGTGTGGTAACGTCACAGCCCGGGTACAGAGAGGAGTCCTCTCCCATAAGGAATTAACTTTCGTTCAGAAGATCAGGGCCGCCTGATCGTGGAGTGAGCCTGGGGAGACTGCACCCAGCTCTCCTGGCACGAGGCCCCCAGTACGGGACCCCCGTAATGTCCCGGTGCGACAGGGGGACAGTTCTAGCTGAGCCCGGCCTGGAGCACGGTGCTGTTTCTTCCGCTGCTCCGTTCTGGGGGGGGGGTCTGGCCGGACTGGTGGACAACCAGATGCCTTCCAGCCCCTGTTTTGGCGTGTTTGGGGAACTCAGGACTCTGGGAATGATGGTGATCACATCCCGCTCGAGAGAAACAGTCCCATTCTCATTCCAGCTGAGCTTCCAATCTCTAGGACTGTTAGATTGGTAAGACACAAGCCGCAGGAGATCGGTAGGAGATCGGTAGCCCCTTGTGACACCTGCAACAGCCGGGGGACACCGTGTGGGACACTGCTGATCCAGAGATACTGTGTGTGCGCGAGCTGGGCGCGGCTCCTGGGCGTTGTGCATGTGCGCTCGGGGAGAGACCAGGGAAACGGTACCCTGGGAAGTTTTCATTTTTAAGAAAGGATACGATATCCCAGCTTCTCGCCAAGCACTCCTGGATCCAGTTTCATCACAGGGTTGGAACGCAGGCCAGCCCGTGGGGATTGAGCTTCCCTCAAACAGAGAAGAAAGAGGGTGTTACGGCGGGTGGGCTGGGGTTCCAGCCAACCGGGAGGGAGAACTGGTTTCTGTTCTGTTGGAAAGAACTGACGCTGGTCTTGAGGGTGATCTTGACCGTCATTGTTCATCATTGCTGTGCTTGGGGCAGGACCTGGGTGCCCAGGAGTAACCCTTCCCTGCAGACTCCTGACCCTCAAACAGAGAAGAAAGAGCACGCAGTGCATTGGGGCATTGGAGTGGGGGGAGTCTCGGGTTCTGGGGTGCAGAGGGGCAAGGGGGGTGATAGAGCTGACAGAAGAAGGTTCATTGAAATTGCACCGGTACACCAGACAAAAAAACTGGATCACAGGAGAAGCACAGGTTTACCACAACTGGACCCTCAGACACATAGCCCTCTATAGGAAGACAGACTACTTAATTACATATAAATTATTCCCAAAACCCTAAATGTCATAGCGCGTGCCTGCCCTTTGAAAACACCAGAACTCTAAAAAGTGGTCCCTGAATGACTGATCATAGAGGCACAGTGAAAGAAGACTAGGGATCACAGGCGAAGACACTCGCGCTATCATCTCAAGTCACCGAGTTCCTCTTTCTTCCCCAGCAATGTTACTGCACCCCCTAGTGGTCAGCCTAGGGCACTGCAGGGAACAGCGCAGGAAGAGTGGCCCAGACCTGGCACCGAGCTCCGTGAAGGTGGCCACCCTACAGACAGCACAAACGATGAAACCCACCTCATTCGTTAGTGCTATGCTTGTGCCGTTGAAAGTAGCGTTTGTGCTGCTTTCGTTTCCAAAACATAGCGCCTTGTTTTTTCGGGGTCGTGACGTCACTCGGCCCCCCTACAATGTCGTAGGGGAACCGGACCGGTCTCATTCATTAGTTTTGCGTTTGTGCCGGTTTGTGCAGTTAAAAGTAGCGTTAATGCTATTTCCGTTCCAGAGATATGGCACCTTGGTTTTCCGGTGATCACGTGAGACATGCACGGTGACTTTGCCCTCCAGTGACCCCGTGTGCCGAGTTCAAGCGTCTGTTACCGGTGCAAGAGGAACAGTTCTGCAGTTGTGTTCCTCTGTGTGCCCGGGTGGGGGGCAGCGGATGATTTTGCATTTAATATCAGTGTCTTCGGTGCGTTTGTATGATCAGGAAAATAAAATTTGTCACGAATTTAAAATACCCTCATCGGAAGAGTTGCATGTAGTCTCAAAAAGCGAACACTAGCAAACAATTGCATGTTTTTAACGAGCACGTCTTAATACTTTGTAGAGTTGTGCTTTTTTAAACATCTGAAGAAGGGATCAGTTTCTCATTGTCTCCTTATGAAATAAACACGCGCACCAAGGGACTTGTAGAGTCGAGCCAGGTACGTGTTCAAAAAGGCTTGAATCTGCAACATCAAGACCACTGTTGCACTTTTTATGCAAAGCACATTCGTTAAAGTGAAAAAGAACCAGGGTGTTTTTAAGAGGGCACTGCGTACAAGGTTGTCGCGGGTAGTAAATAACACATCCAAGAAGCAACACTGGAAAGTCCACCGTCACACACCTGCGGACCGCGGCAATATTGGAAACATATTTTTTTATTTTCACAAAACAGAAGTGAACATATATCTGAATTCTTTAATAAACTGTCATTACCCGTGTGTTTGTATTTACCGGGGTCTTATGCCCAAATATGAAGCGATGAGCTCACAGTTCTTTTATCTTTGTGTTTCCGGCCAGTCCTTGGTGTAGAACACAGCGTGAGGGCACACCTGCCCTCTGAAGACACAGGTGTGGGCGCCTGTGTTAGATCCTCAGGTGAAGTAGAGTCTTCTGCAGTCTGCAATCTAATGACCCACACACGTTTGCTTGTCCTGCTCCATGAAGTTGCCCACCCGCCTGCCGTGATTGGGTGAAGAGTGAGAATCGACACTCTGATTGGGTAAAGCGCCACAGCGGAAGTTCTGAGAACACGTAGATACACAGGTGATGGATGTTCTTCTCGGTCCAAATACTGTAGCCCCGGGTAACCGTGTGTGCTGTATGAGCACGCTGGATATACAGTAACACATCCTTTCGTTTCCAATTACCGCACAGAGGTCAAAACTTAATAGCAGACAAAGAATGTCATGGCATCCACAGCGCATTCACGACTCCGATAGCACGTCACGATAGGAGTGCGCGCATCACGATCACATCGCGATACCCATTGCGACTGGCACAGTCTGTCGACTGTCATGGCGCCACTGTCGCGACATCAAGTCCATATATCGCGATATGACATACTCCAACAAAACACCCTCTCCCCCATGTCGCGACATGAAGCCCACATATCGCGATATGACGTACCCCGGCAAAAATGCCCCGCCCCCATGTCGCGACACGAAAGGCTTTATATCGCGATATGACATGCCCAGCCAAAACGCCCACCCCCCGATGTCGCGACATGGAGTTCATATATCGCGATATGACAAAAACTGCCACGCCCATGTTGCGACATCAGGTCCCTATATCACAATATGCCATACCCCTCGACAAAATGCCCCGCCCTCATGTCACGACATGGAGTCCATATATTGCAATAGGACCCTGACAGGATATGCTGACCCCATGACTATATCGCGACACGTCCTATCTGGGTGTATCATGTCTGATATGAGACCTTTGTTGCGACAGCGGTGTCAGAGTGGCATGGTAGCAAGGCGCCAGTCGTGATATACACTGCCGCGATATACATGGGGTCCCTATCATGACCTGCTGCGGAGGTCTTGTCACGATGGTGTCCCACAGTTACGCATCTGGCAACAACAGAAAAAGGTAGGGACAGAAAAGGAAAACGTGCCTTAGAATATAAAAACCATAGATCTTACAATCACTGTGATTTTACATACATTACAACCACATGTTTATGTCATAGATGGTTAAATTGTTGTAATGCATCTTATTATTCACATCTAAGGAGGCTCATATGTTTATGGATATTGATTATCTTTAAAATGTGAAGGGTACGAGCTAAACTGTAGCAGAGCGCTTGAACTCGGCAGACGGGGTCACTGGAGGTCAAAGTCCTCCAGTGCATGATCACGTGATCACCGGAAAAACAAGGCGCTATATCTCGGAAACGAAAGCAGCACAAACGTAGCACTAACGAATGAGGTGGGTTTCATCGTTTGTGCTGTCTGTAGAGGGGGCAACTTCACGGAGCTCTGGCACCGGGGGCAGGGAGAGATGGCCAAGCCGCTGGTATCGAGAGAACGTGGGAGCGTGGACGTAGGACTGACTGACAGATGGCAGGAGAGATGGATGAACCCTGTTGTTGACTCAGGAGGATGACGACTGGAGTTTAAATGGAAGTTCTCGTTATTTCATTCTTGCAAAAATAACGACGAGGCATCCTTAAGTTGCCTGCTTCAGGTCTAAATTGGTGAAGCAGTGCCTGAGCAGGATCTCAGAATTGGCACGTATTGCGCTCGATGCATTTTACAAAAGGCTGATCCATTATTTATACAATCGACTCGGTGCAACGCTACAAGGCGTTTCGGAGGAGCTCTCCTTCGGTCCTCGAGAAAAGTCGTTTTTGAAAGGCTGGGCTTATCGTCACACAGTAGACAGCAAATATTGACTCGAGAAGATCCTTGACGAGGGCACTGCTTGTTATCGATTATCTCACCTTTTAGTCCTCTTTAGTCATTTTAAACCGCTCGGGCGTAGAGCCCGACATCAACAGTCATCCGTCAGAAAAGGACCGACTGGAGGTGTAGGAATTCCCTGCCAGACATCGCCACCCTCTGGTAACAGATCAGTACTGCATGTCCAAAACTGAAACTCCCAGAAATACATCAGCCATGTTAGTTTTTTTTTCCCAATTAAGGTCTAGTTTAACTTTTCAGTTTTGTTTGTTTTTTATTGCCGTTTTAAATATTTCAAAAGGATCATTGGCATAACAGTAGTGATGCCGCGTCTTAGATGATTAGCACGTAAGAAAATGCGTGTTTTTGCTATGCTAGCAGTGCGTTACCGTAGCTAGGACTTCAGTAAGACGTCACTCAAATTGCTCCAGTAAATTTTCTACCATATAATCGGGTATCAAAGGTGTTGGCGTGAAAGACAGTAGACAATGTATAGAATTGCATTAAAATGGCTTGTCTTTTCCCCCTTCAGTAATTAATCACACGTATTAAGGGTTTTTCATCCCTAAATAATGATGTAGGATGAAATGCAGCCCCAACCAGAACTTTGATATATTTGCGTCTCGCCTGAGCACTTTACTAGTCTCATCCACTTGCCTGGTTTAATTCTTGGTAGAGCTGGGCCGGTCGGACATGTTCTCCGATTCCTTGAGGTGTTGGAGCTGCAGAGCAACATCTGGAAGTTTTTAATCGGGACGTCTGTCATCATCACAGTTGACGTTAAGAGCTAGATCTGGAATCTCAAGACAATCCGCACTGCCTTGGCAGCATTAACTGAGCACAGTAGTTCAGGTGGGGAGCTGCGTCAGCATGCGCAGGCTGCAAAGGAACAAGTAATAGGTTTATTCCACGCTGAAAAAAAAGAAGAAAGAGAACACAACGTTTCGGCCGTGGAGCCTTCTTCAGGTGAGGTGAGTATTCTTTTCTTTTTTTTAGCATGGAATAAACCTATTACTTGTTCCTTACCTGAGCACAGGCAGACATGCAGCGAGCCAGCTGTGCCACTGTGAATATTAATGACTGGGTGAAATGTGTGATGGGCATATATTGGGCACGTACCCAGTTCTCACTACTGCATGTACTTGCTAACTGGGACCAGCCGCCCTGATCGGACTGGTGCATTGTGTTACACTGTGGACGCAGGAGTAGAAAAACATGCAAGTTAATTCCGCGCTGACAAGAAGTGTCTCAGCTGTTGAGGCTTGCTCGGGTGGGAATGGGTCCTTTAATTAATTGCTTACACTTATATAGCGCTTTTCTGGACACTCCACTCAAAGCGCTTTACAGGTAAGGGGGATCCCCTCCACCACCACCAGTGTCCAGCCCCACCTGGATGATGTGACGGCAGCCATAGTGCGCCAGAACGCTCACCACACACCAGCTCTCAGTGGGGAGGAGAGCAGAGTAATGAAGCCAATTCATAGATGGGGATTATTAGGAGGCCATGATTGATAAGAGCCAATGGGAAATGTGGCCAGGACGCCGGGGTTACACCCCTACTGTTTTCGAGAAACGCCCTGCGATTTTTAATGACCACAGAGAGTCAGGACCTCAGTTTTACATCTCATCCGAAAGACAGCGCCCGTTTACAGTATAGTGTCCCCGTCACTATACTGGGGCATTAGGACCCACATGGACCGCAGGGTGAGCGCCCCCTGCTGGCCCCACTAACACCTCTTCCAGCAGCAACCTTAGCTTTTCCCTGGAGGTCTCCCATCCAGGTACTGACCAGGCTCACACCTGCTGAGCTCCAGTGGGCTGCCAGTGGTGAGTTGCAGGGTGATATGGCTGCTGGCATGGGTGAACTTCAGGTGTGAAGGAGGCTCTACAGCATCGAAGTGACCGGTGACTCTTTCCTTTGTGACCAACGCACACCGAGCCGAACAGCAAGGCCACATGAGTGCTCACTTCATTCCACCACGGCACTGCGGATCATCTTCCAAAAAGCAAGATAAAGGGAGACGGAAACGGAAAGTGTTCCACCAAAAAACATTTTATTCTATAAAAGGAGGGGTGTAATCATGAATATACAGGGAAACTGGTCTGTTCACACCATTTCTCACAGTATCAAAAACCTTGCATTTTCCTCACTGCTCTTTAAACATTTGTTCTATACAAATACAAAAAAATATTAATAATAATAATAACTGCATTGCACTGAGTATTACATTACTGGCCCATAAGTTACTGCATTCAATATAAAATACCTATGATTTGTTTGCTTTAAGAAATAGAATTAGGTACTTGAGATTAAAAGCACGCACACACATACACACAAAGAAACCCCCCAAAATACACCCCCCTCCAAAAGGCTTTTACATCTTGCTTACACTAGGTGGCGCTGTATCCAAAGGGAAATGTTCAGCTGGCCACTCCGGTGTGGTTATGCCTTTGCACAAGGACATGGACAGGAGGATGGTCTTGATTCTTAAGATCATTCAGTCTGGGTTCAACAGAAGGATCTGTAAAGAACCTGACGAGGGGAGAGGGAGGGACCTTGGGGGTTGAGGGACTAGTTTTCCTCGGATCACAACTCTGCCATCCAGAAATAATTTCTTTCTTAATTGAAGGCGGTTTCTGCCGATGGCAGAAGACTGGCGACTCAGACTGCACACATGCCCCACTGCGAGGGATTCAGCGTGGGACTGAGGGACCCCACTGTCATCTCATCGTCTTCCGCCATTTCATTCCTGCTCCAGGACCTGTCCCGTTTCCTCTGCCTCTAAATCCATAGCAGCCTGCTGCATTCACAGGGCGGGGCTCCAGTCTGGTTCCAATGATCTCTTCATCGCTTTTCTCACTCTTCCAAAACACCCCCCCCTGCCCGCCCCACCCCTCTCCCCTCCTGTGCTCGCAGTGTTGCGTCAGCTGTCAGTCACAGGTACGAGTGAAACTCCAGCTGCTCGGCGGGTTGATACACTGAAGAGCTGTAAAAACGGCCTTTCTATTCCCCAGTTTAATCTTAGTCCCTTGTCTACCTCTGCAAAGCGACGCAAAACACTGTAAAAAGCATGAACGCAAGAGGTGTGGGGGGGAAGGGGGGGGGAAAATCGGTGCGAATTTTTGGAAAGGCCTCCAGCAGGTAAAACCTGGAATGGCTCCAGGTGCAGAGCAACGGGAGTTTCACAGCCGTCCCCGTGTGCTGTGCTGTGGAGGACACCGAATCGGGCCCAGTGGCACCGGGCCACCGACCCGAAACGAGACCCTCACTGGACACCAGCGAGACGCGCTCAGTTCACCTCGGCCACTACAGAAACAAAACCAGGAGCAGAACGACAACAGAAAAAGCCATTTTTCACATTATCTAGTCAGTGTTAAAAATAGAAATCCACCCGTTACATTTAATCTGGACTTTGGATTATATACAGTATGTACATCTTGTGTATTGTTCCTCCCTGTGGTTAGGACTGATAAGATTTTACTTTACAAAACTCTACATAATCTGTACTGTCCTTTTAAAAAGGATGTGCTTGGTTAACACCACACCATGAGCTGGATGAGAAAGAAAACAGAAACCATAAATGCTGACCCATTTGATAAACCAGAGGCCAGTTCGATTTTTGCTTCCTCCGGCAAAGAGATTTTGCCCCTGGAGAGCCCCGAGACCTGAATCCCGCCTTTGTTTTCAAAGGGACAAGCCGATTTCGGTTTTGTTCAAGGGCCCCAAACGCAGAGCTGGCTGCGTCGGAGTTGGCATCACCCCTCGCTGAACTGGCGTGCTGAAATTAAAAGGCAGGACTCCTCTCCACCTTCCAGGCCTGAGCGCCCCCTGGAGGCTCGGGGGGCTTGGGGCAAAACCAGGGTGTTCTCCGCCCTGTGCATCGTGCACTGCGCTATGGGTCTGCACATGGGGCTCTTTCCTTCAGTGCTTTGAGCTCCTGCCCAGCAAGGGGCAGAACAGATCTCCTGCCCGCATCCTCTCGATCCCTGACTAAATCGGAGTACGAGGATCCGTGTGCGTCCAGGGCGCACACACTGCACAAAAAGGGTTCAACACATGTACACAACTTGATCATTACTACTGTCCTGTAAACACATTCTGGGGTTATGTTTTTTCACAGCCTTCTTAGTGAGTGAATAAAAAAAAAAAGAAGAAAACAAAGAAAGAAATCATCCTAACTATTTGCACTGACTCTCCATCGCGTGTGCAAATACCAATCTCCCGCCATTGGAAAAAGGAGCATCCCTCAGCCAGCGAGAAGCAGTGGACGTTAGTCCACTGTGTCAACACACACGGGAGCAGTATCACAGCTTCTGCGTCAGGCCCTGCTTGACACGCGTGGCCCGGCTGGCGGACAGAGGCGCGTTCGTGTCTTGATCCCTTTTAGCGAAGCTGCCTCTGCGCCAAGGCTGGGCCCGGAGCCTGCTTAGCTGTGCAGGGGGAGCTGCATTCTTCACCTGCCAGCTCACGCCGTGCAGCGCCCCCTCCTGGTCTGGGCCCTCCACCCCACACGGTGTACGGGGAGGGAGGGACACAGGAACGAGGGAGAAGTGGAGTGGAGGAAAAGGGAAGCTATAAATCCACTCTAATCTGCTTTAACAGATGTATAATAGTTGCTTCTGTATTAACTCTTCCTCAGTTTGCAGGACATATACTACATTATTACTGGAGGCGCCACATCAACACAGATTGCAGCCAAAGGTTTTGCTGCCAGCTTGCTTTAAGGTGTAACAAGTACCACGAAACCAGGAACATCCATTGACAATGCAGCCTTTTTTTTTTTTTAGAGAGCATGCAAAACCCCACAGTCTGAAAAAAAACCCTGCTCCCGTTGTGTCTTCCCACAGCCTCATCTCCAAGCCTCCGTGCTGTTCGCTCCCAATTTAAAAAAAACAACAAACTACTTTTGGCAAACAGTCCAAAAACAGCCCTTAAAAAAAATAAGAAAGAGTTCAATACTGTTCTTGGGAAATAAAGTCTCGTGGGGCGATGGGTGGGCGGGCGGGCGATGGGTGGATTGCAAAACCAAAGGAAAAGGGGCAAAAAAAAACCAGCGAGGAGAAGATTCACAGTCTCGTTGACCTCCGAGGGGCTGGGCAGGGCCGTGGGTCAACACACTGAACCACACACAGCACTCCCCTGACAGGGGAGATTCTGTGGGGTCACAGCAGGGATAGGGGGACCCCCGAATCGTCTGGAAAAGGCAAGACCTCCCTCGCGACACACACACACACACACACGTCAAAATCACAGGCCCGCTCGCCCACCAGGCGGCAACGAACTCAGGCGGCACGTCAATACGAGCAAGAGGACTGCGGCAGACCGCGGAGTCCACACCCCCGCCATCCCTAATCCGAGCACTTCCCTCTCCCCCCATCCAGCCGCGCGTGTTCTCCAACCTGGGAAAAAACCGAGCCCCCGCCCATCCATTCCCAGCTCTGGAATTTCGAGCTCGGCACTATTTATATGACGATATATTTAGATGGCACTGGCGGATTGGAGGAGCCTCCTGTGCTTTCTAGTCTCTTCTGGCCTCATGCGGCCTGGGTGTGTGGGCTGGCTAATTCACAGTAAAATCACAGGCAGGGAGAGGGGGAGGGGCCTGTGCAGGCGGGGGGCGTGTCCAAGTGCTTGAGCCGTTGCCGTCCCCGCCCCCTCCCCTGCTGGACACACCCACTGCCGGCCGAGCCGCAGGAGGGAGGGAGGGGAGACGGGCGAAGGAGGTCGTGGGTTCACAGTCGCACCCCCACACCTCGCCCCCCGCCCCCTCATCCCCCCCCATTTCGCCATTTCAGTCTGCAAACCGCGCCCCCTCACGCGGTGCCGATCACATCATCACGTGGCGTCTCCGGTGCAGGGCCAGGTGGTCGGAGCGCGAGAAGCTGCGGTCGCAGTCCGTGCAGCGGAACGGCTTGATGCCCGTGTGCTTGCGGAAGTGCCGGGTCAGCTCGTCCGAACGCGCGAACCGCCACGCGCAGCCCTCCCAGGTGCAGCAGTACGGCTTCTCCCCTGCAATACACACAACCGGACAGCAGGGGGCGCCGATGAGTCCCGAGCTCGCAGTTCCTTAACTGGCGACGCGTGCTCATGTTCGCTCTGTGCCCTGTCGGTTACCTCCGTGGTCTCCCTTACTTTTACTTCTTTCCTTAAGAGCAGTGTAAACCCACAATTCCTCCATCTCTAAGCCTCCACGCTAATCTGAGATTTCAGGAGAGCCACTCTGTTTGCAACCTTTTTTTTGTGCATGAAACATATGTTACTCATAAAGATAAAGCTCCCAGTGTGTAAGGTATTATAACTTTTTTGCACTGTTCTGGGCTGTTCTTTGGGTATTTTGGCTAGCAGCCATATCACCCTGCAACCCACAACTGGCAGCCCCACTGGAGCTCAGCAGGTGTGAGGCTGGTCAGTACCTGGAGGGGAGACCTCCTGGGAAAAACTAAGGTTGCTGCTGGAAGAGGTGTTAGTGGGGCCAGCAGGGGGTGCTCACCCTGCGGTCCATGTGGGTCCTAATGCCCCAGTGTAGTGACAGGGACACTGTACTGTAAACTGACGCCGTCCTTCGGATGAGACATAAAACCGAGGTCCTAACTCTCTGTGGTCGTTAAAAATCCCAGGGCGTCTCTCGAAAAGAGTAGGGGTGTAACCCCGGCGTCCTGGCCACATTTCCCATTGGCCCTTATCAATCATGGCCTCCTAATAATCCCGCTCTATGAATTGGCTTCATTCCTCTGCTCTCCTCCCCACTGAGAGCTGGTGTGTGGGGAGCGTTCTGGCG